AGAGCTGTGGGGGGGGGGAAGGGGACAGTAGGAGGAGGAGGAGAGAGAGAGAGAGAGAGACATGGAGCGAGAGACCGGAGGCTTAGGAGAGAAGACCAACGTGGAGGAGAGACCTTATGACGGACTAATTGGCTAGTTGAAAATAAACGTCTTAGAACAGCAAGTCATATATAGCCTCATAAGGCCCAGCCAATGCACAAAGCTGCCCTGTTGTTCTGATTGCCTGAACTGAACTGCCTTGTCCTATAATCCTCTGCAGACAGTGGATTCACTTAGGGCACTCTACACAGCAGGGCAAAAGTCGAATTAAGCTGCTCAACTTGAGCTACAGTCAATTGTGTAGCTTAAGTTGAAATAGCTTAATTTGGCTTTTTCTGTCTACACAGCAAGAAGTGGAAGAAGGAACACTCTTCCTTTGACTTCCCTTATTCCTCAGGTTACCATGAGTCTGAGTAAGAAGTCCTCCAGCTCGACATTATTTCAAAATAAAAGCTTGTAGTTAGGGCTGGCCCGAGGTATGGCGCCCCAGGCGCACAGTGCATGCGCGGGCCTGCCCATGGGGAGCGGGCCTGCCCCCCCTAGGGTGCGCAGGCCCACCCCTGGGGCGCACGCATGTGCGCGGCTATGGCCACTAACGCACAGCCGGGGGCCCGTCCATAGGGCGCACGGCGCAAGCACGGCCCAGTCCAGCCTGGCTGTTGATGCTGGCATGCGTGCCGGGCCGTGTAGGGCTCCACGGCCGTGGGGGGAAGGGCGTTGCTGGCCGGCGCCACGGGGATAGGGGCGACTGGCACTGCAGGAGCTGGGCACACTGTGCACCCCTTACAGCTGCCATCAGGCACCCCGGGCAGCTGCCCGGCACACCCATGCCTCCGTGTGGCCCTGCTTGTAGTGTTGAGACACACTTTAATAACACTGCTATGTGGACAGTTTTATTTACATTTTAAATTTACTTATTGCTCTTAGCACTTCATTTACCTTTGTTAACATTGTGAAGAGAGATGTTGTATTAATTAACTGCTATTTTTTATAGCAAATAATGAGCGAAAATAATAGTTGCTTGCTAACAGCTTGCTTGAGCAATGACAGCTCGTAGTGTTTCCAGTGTAACACTTCCTGGTTACATTGGCAAATTAGTTGTTAATTCTCAGAATACATGTTTCTGGGGGATTTTCTTGTACACACATTTATTCTTTGGGCTCCTAGGACGTTGAGGCAGACTTTTTCTTGGTTGATGTCAAAACTTCATCAGTTTCCTTTGATCCGCCAATAGGAATTGCCTTTGTCAGTTGTTACTTTGCCTCTCTTATCAACCATCTTAATACTTTTTCACATGTTACCACTTGTACATATAGCTTGGTTCCCAAATATTCACTATAGGTCTGATTTTTAAAAGTTGAAGGCTCTTGCATGCTGTTGAAAATCCTGCTAGTTACTTAAATACCTTTAAAAATCTCATTGAGGGCAATCTTGTATGAAATGCTTCTCAAAGACAAATTTTTATTTAATATAGGTGCGCAATCCCAAAATAGCTTAAGAAACACAAGAATTCAAAAATCACAAGTTATGCATCAAAAAGTCAATTAATAATAAATACATTTTGTGTTTTAATTTGCCTTTTTGTATCTGAGACTGTAGGGCACTCTAGAGCAGTGGTCACCAACCAGTAGATCGGGATCGACTGGTAGATCTTGGAGCCTCTGACAAGTGATCCTAACTGGTTTGGCCAAAAGGCTATCAAGTGCTAGTACTTCAGCTGCCCCTCTCCCCACTGCTGTTTATCACCTGCCCTTTGCCTTGGAGCTGCCCCTCCCCCTGGGAAACCTCCTACTTTCTGGGCAGGGCAGGGGAGGGGAGGGAGAGAAGGGGGTGCTGATGTCAAGATGCCCCTGCTCCCACTCTGTATCCTGTTTCCACAGAGCAGAGAGGGGACATAACAGGACTTGGGATGGAGTTTGCTGGCTGATTTAGGGAGTGGTCCAGAGCTAGGGCAGAGGTGAGCCTGTGCCCAGCTGGAGTCCATATCCCGAAACCCTACCCCAGTCATGAATCCCCTTCTGTACCCTGAGTGCATCCAAATACCCTCCCAAAGCCTGCACCTAGAACACCATCCTAAATGCATGCCCCAAGAGTCGCTCAGAGCCCTTCTCACACTCCAGATCCCTTAAGCCAAGACCAGAGCCTGTGCCTCAAACCCTTTGCCCCAGCCTGATGAAAGCGAGTGAGGAGGGGCAAGAGAAGGAGAATGGAGTGAGCAGGAGCGGGGCTTCAGGGAAGGAGGCAGGGCAAGGGTATTTATATTTGAGGTAGATCTTGGATTGCACTTAAATTAAAAAAGTGATCTCGTGCTTTAAAAGGTTGGCGACCACTGCCCTAGAGTCTTACTTTTGCTGTAACCTTGCCCAAATAAATACTCCATATCTGCCTAAACTTGTTGTATATTTCTATACCATTCAGTACTTGTTTTGGACTTTTCCAGTAACATGTGAATCCCACTTCCTTTGGTTTGTAATTGAAAACATATTAAAAATCCTTATTCCAGTAAGTAATTCCCCATACTGTCACGTGCACATTGTTAGAGAAAAAACTGCCCCCCCCCCCCCCTTGCTATAGTGGGCTGCAGTACTCCTTGGGAGAAACCAGCCGCACCCTCCCTGCATACCATTGCCTTTAGAAAAAGGGAAGGTGTGAAAAGGGGAAAATAGCGTGAGAACTGCGGGGCTTACCTAGTCCATGAAACCTGCACAATTTTGGCCCAACCCCTGGGACACAGACCCCTCCACTTGGTGACCATTGGGCCATATATGGTAATATGCAAGCGCAGGAAAGCGATGTGCAGATTTGGGGATAAATACCCATCCCACAGTTTGCTCGAGGAGGTCTTCGCAACACACGTACCACCGTGTGTGTGCATTCCCGTATACGCCAAAGCGCTGCCGGCCTGATCAACCGACTAGCCACCTCCCCCAACTCTCGGGCATAACCAAGGCCTTCGCAACCAAACTGATATCTTTGAAATGTTCCGTGTGCTGTGTAAGTTGGTATGTATGATTTGATTTTCTTTGTTGTATAAGCTTAATGTTGTAGTTGTTGGTAGCACATAGATTTTTGTAGTTATCACTGTTATTTAATTAGTGTAGCTGGATATCTTCAGAATACAGACTATTCCCCTTGCCGTTCCCATCCTTATATTTCTGACACGTTTAAACAAGGAATCGTAGAATAAATATAATAAATACTGTAAATTCATTATTAACATGGTCTATTAAAAATCTTAGAATAAATATTATAAATTCATCACTGTTATAAATAAATATCTTGAATTTACTAAAACAGTCCACCTGGTTCTGTCCTTCCCCCCTTGAGTATGCATCATCGGACCAGTGATTCTCGCGACATAGCATCACGAACAGGACGCCTGTGGGAAGACATAACTAATTTAACCCCGGAAGATTTACTCTTCCATGCCCAATATCACCAAATCACCAACACAAGTGATGGCATACTGGGACACCTGAGTATTGCCACTGGGGATCAAAAGTGGGAGGTACGCCTTGATGGCCCATCATTGGGTTGCGTCCTCTGCACACACCCCACTAGTCACGTTTTCCCATTGCTGGAGGAAAAGCAGGTAAAACTAGCAGGCCTTAAAAAGCCACTAGATCCAGCTGCAACCCCGTCACGCCCTTAAGGCTATGGAGGCCTGCATAAAAAAGGCAGGAGCCTCTGTCTCTCCCTCAACATTCTACCCCGACTTAGAGACCAGGGGCCGAGCACACACCTTAGCCTCCAACGTAGCCGCCACCCTCGTAAACGCACGAATGCACCATAAGTTAAAACCTGTGTAACCCCCAAGGAGATTACTTAGATTCCCAGGGCTTTGTCTGCTGGCAGCTCAGGGAGAGGTACTCTGAGTTTGCCTTGGCTCCCCCTCCCTACCAGGGCTAGAGTCTGCCCGGCAACACATAGGGCGTGAGATGCCCCTTCCAGGGGGAAGGAGAGACCATTGTTGAGGGGAGTCTGGAGCCAACCAGGGCAAGGGGAGGTCTGGCTGTGTGGGAGCTAGTAAGCCCCAGGCCTGCATGCAGGGTTCTCCCTGAGAACTGGCCTCTAGGGACCTGAAGGCAGGATCCCTCAGCTGGGTTTTATGTCTCCACTGGTGATTCCCAGTTTGTGGAGTTTGCTGGGAGGCTTCCCCAGCCAGGCTGAGTTGGCTTTCCAGCTCCCTGGGTCTATTTGGAAAACCATGGGAGGCTTCTAAAAGCCCCTCCCCAGCCTTACGGGAGGGACACTGGACCCATGTCCAATTAATTTCGGGGGACAAATAATGAAAAAAGGATCAGGGAGTGCAGGCTAAAGGTTTATAACTAGGGAACCGGATGGGGATACCGAGCAGAGAACCCCAGACAGCGCCCACTGCTCCTCAAAGCTATCGAGGGAGCCAGTGGACGCCGCCCAGAGGAACTCTGCCCGGATTCGTGAAACAAGGAAGGAACGGAAATAGGCCCCACAGTCACAGAGAACCCCCTCGTCCAACATCTTACTCCTGGTATTAAAGATGGCAACCTTTGCTAGAGCCAGGAGCAGGTTGACGAGGAGGTCTCACGACTTTGTGGGGCCACGGATAAGATGTGCATAAATGAAAAGGTGGGGGGAAAAGTGCAGCCAGAACCTCAATAAGAGGTTCTGGAGGAGCCGGAATAGGGGCTGCAACCTGGCGCATTCCAGATAAATGTGCGCCAGGTTCTCCCTTACACCGCAAAAGGGGCAGGTGTCTGGGATGGGGGTAAACCGCGCCAAGTACATGCCCGTGCTCACGGTTCCGTGAAGGAGCCGCCAACTGATGTCCCCGATGGGCCGCGGAATTAGATTTGGCCCATCGGGCTCCCCCACCCTCACCAGACCTTAAATAGTCCCGCCCCTTGGTATCGGGGCGGGACATGAGGGTGGGGAAATGCAGGGTGTGGAGCACGAGCATGTACAGCTGTTCTCTAGGCACGGTCCGGAAACAGACCGGCTGCAATTTTTGCAGCTGGCTGGGGGTCCAGGGATGGGGAGGCCGGGGGGGCCCGCGGAACAGGGGCCCAATAATAAGGGACGGAGGCTTTGCAGGAAGGGAGGGGCGGGGCGTACCCTCTCGGAAATCAAGAGTGGGCTCTGGCAAAGCCTCCTTCACCTCCTAGAGTACACACAGGGAGGTTCGGGGGGTGGAGAGCCCCATGCGCTGAGCGAGCGCCCGGGGATCCACCCAGCCCCCCCTGTCGTAGTCCAGGAGGTCTCCGACCATGGTGGTTTCTGCCAGGATCAGCCTCCGGTGCACCGAGGGAGACTCCGCCACCTGCACACACAAGGCTGGATTGTGGAGCAGGGGCTCTGTGAGGAGGTCTGCTCCCTCGGAGGCCACAATGGACCTGGTCGCCGAAAACAGCTTCCAGGTCTGGAGGAGGTCCTGGTAGAATTCCGGCAGCTCTGAGAGGTCTCGCGGAAGGCCCCTCGGGTGGGTG